GCGTGAGCCGTGTACGGCTGAAATAAATTTCGAAAATTTTCCAGTACACGTCCGTCGGTTTCCCGTCCGTTCACTGCACCGTACCTTAGAGGACCATTTTCGGGACCCTGGGATGTGTGTTCCCTAATAAAACAGGTCGCCTCCTCTTATAATTATAAATTCACCGCTCTTTCAAGTGACTAACTACAGGAATGGCTCCGACCTGTGATTGGATGATAAAAATAGTAAAAGTTAATAAGTTATATCTTAACTCCTTGTTCGTGAGTATTGTTAACCGCGTGTCTCAAAGTGGAACAATGAAATATCGATGCGAGTGAAAACACCGATGTGTCAACATGAAATGGCTACTTACCTAGCGAAGGGAAGGCAGCCTTTCTTGTTCAGCGAGGTCGTTCAGCGATATTCCGGCGATGAAAAAGTCATCTGCTGACTAGCTCCGCTGACTAAACTCATTAAGTCAGTTGAGGCGGACGACCAGAGACTGGAGCCATTCCTGTATTTCACCGCTGACAGGAATAGCTCCGACTCAAACGTTTAATAATTTTTTTTTCAATAATTTTTAAATAATTTTTTAAACAATTTTTTGGACAAAATTTAAAACTAAACTAGTGAGCAGCGCTGTGCGAACAGTAGTTGTTAAAGATCTTTAATCTCTGACGTGTTTCGTCTAACTGTCGTAAACTTCTTCAGGGAGTTTTACAAGTTAACACTAAACGCCTATATTTATAAGCTATTGTTAGCGGCCATTGCGGGGGCCAATGACCATAAGGGCTTGGCCGGACCTACGAGCAGGAATAGGCAAAGTTGTGAAAAATTTGCAATTTTCTTTTGAAAATTTTTTATGCAAGGTGAGAAATATTTTGCGAGCCACGGTTTTAGCTAAAAATTTTCAAATTTGAAAAATTGAAGTGGTTTTTTACAGATGATGCTTGGAAGGCAGTTTGCAAATTTGGTTAGGATGGCTCGTGTACTTTACATAAAATGTGGTTTATGTTATGGTCATTCTTTCTTAAATTTGCGTGGTATAAATACCTTGTCTAAAACAGTAGTGTGATACAATAACAAACGAGATGTGCTCGTTCCAATACAGCGTCATGCGATGAACAGCCTTCATTAATTTTAGAACAAGTTTTATAAAATCATTTTACTCTTTTTGGTTGTACCATTACTGCAAACAGTCAAGGTACTTCGACATGATTCAGTGCGAGAGCTACTGCCACTGGTTTGACTGGTAAGACGTTTTTTTGGTTTGTTTTGTTTTATCTTTTTTTAGGTGTAGCGGAGTTAGAAATTACCAAGCAAAATTAATCCGCGACTTTCTCCCTTTAGGTGTTGTGCAAAAACAGATGAAGGGCCCTATGAATAGATTTGTCCTTCATGTGAACAATAACCTAGAAAATCAGTTTTCCACGAAAAAAAAAATCCCTCGACTGCGGCCAAGCCATATTTCTCCAGCAGAGCATACTGTAAATTAAAAACATCGGTCGCAGCGTCACGCAACATTGTGTGATTTTCCAAACGTGACATGCAGTTGCTTAGAAACTATATGGCCCTGTAGTAATTAAAGAGGGATTCATTTGCAAGCACTGTAGACTTCAACATAAGAAGAACCTAATAAATCGCTCTTTCAGTTTTCATCTCAGTTTATAAATTATTTAGCCAGGACGAAAAAAAAAATTAATATAGGTATGAGTTGGAACCATTCCTGTCTGCGGTCAAATACACGAATGGCTCCAGTCTCTGGTCGTCCGACTCAACTGACTGAATGAGTTTTGTTACCAGAGCTTGTCAGCAGATGACTTTTTCATCGCCGGATTATCGCTGAACGACCTCGCTGAGCAAGATAGACTCTACCTTCTCTTCGTTATGTAAGTAGCCATTTCTTGTTTGATCAGTGTTTTCACATTGATATTTCATTCTTTCGCTTCGAGACACGCGGTTAACAATACTCACGAGCAAGGAGTTAAGATATAACTTATTAACTTTTACTATTTTTATCATCCAATCACAGGTCGGAACCATTCCATTGTTAGTCGTTTTAGTTCTCAGCGGCAGAATTTCGCCAAAATTGGTATTTATTGCCATACGTGGTAGGTAATTTTACAACATGTTTGAACCAAGAGTTTCAATCAACTACATGTATCTAACCCAAGGTATCTTTCTGGACTGGAATATCAGAAATGGTATGGTACTGTGTGTTAACTAACTTTGTAGGTATAATTTTGATAGTTTGTCCGAGTATGTCAGGGTAGCTGAGTGAGGCTGATAAGTTACAGTGTTTTTTTTTTTTTTTTTTTTTTTTAGGCCATAACAAGGAGCAATTTTGTCTTCATTCTTTAACTCCCAAGATCTGTTTGCTAATTCTCCCAGGTAGTTTCTAGATGTTTCCTTGTACATTTGTCATAGGAATTTGTTGTTAGATCAAGATAACAACTTACCCTTTTGTTGGATATTGTATAGATATTTTAGGGAGAAATTAAATGTTAATCACATCTGGGAATTTAAGGGTTAAACAGCGTGATGTGATACACTGCCACCTAAATTTCACTGGAGTTTGAAATATCCAGGACTTTAGCATTCCCCACAAATTTGTTCAAACTGCAGCTAACTAATTCTGCAGAGCAGTTGCAATATGCAACTCTAATGGTTATTTCACAATTTTGACAAGTACTAGTTAACCTTTCATTTACTCAGACTGAACTGTGGACTGGAGTTAGGGGGGATTGGTTTCTACACCTGATATCTTCTCTTGATTTTCTGAGCTGGAAGAAAATGTCTTGTATGAAAGTTGTGCTCAATGGAACAACACCCACCTTGATCTTATCCAGTTGTTATTGTTAGGTCCAAAGAAGTGAATTTATCTCACATTTGTGTGAATAAAGATATGTAATTGTTAATTTGCTGGGCAGAGTTTATCAAGCAGTGAAGATGATGACATTGCCTGAAAACAAAAACCAAAAGAAAATCAGAAGAGGAAGAAGAAAGGAAAAAACTTTATTGACTCAGGTAATGTTTTAGGGTGAACACTAATAGTTTCAAAAGGAACAGATGTCAAGACTCTACACAAACTATTACACCTCTGTTTTTGTTTTAATGGTGTACTGTGCTGTACAGTGTCCTTGTCAATTCCAAATGCAATTTGCTTTTTTACGAAAACATGATGTAAAAAGATTCACATAATGATATGTACAACATCACAATGATGTCCTGACCCTAGTTCTAAATTAATCTTACATCTCTGTTAGATTCTGATGAAGATCCTCTTCCTCCAAAAATCAGGTATGTGATTTGTTTTTTCAATTTTGTTCCATTTTATACAGTTGTAATTAACCTATGACCCTAATAACACCACTGAGTCAAGAGTCAAGGAAATGATCACCAACTATAAAAGCTCTTGATTATTAAACAAATTCTCCTTGTCAGCACCTTGGAAAATGCATAGAGAACACTCTGTATGGAGAATATGGATCCTGATGTCAGGTTGTATTCAGAACTTGGTTCTCTTTCACTCATCTCTGTTTCAGAAAAGCCACATCAGTAAAGAAGGAGGAGAGTTCAAAAGCTAATAAAAGTAGAAGAGCAATCAGCTTGGACTCAGGTAAGGAAATTATGTCTACTTATTGAGGGTACCTGATACTTTTTACATGAGAGGTGATGTGGAGACTTTATTTTAATGGGAATTGTGATATCATCTTTTTCGTATAATTATGTATATTTTTGATTTTTTATGGGATTAACAGTTTTATTAACAGGTTAGAAAGAGAGAAAATATGAATTTGGTTTAATTTTTTTCCTTTGGTTTTATTTATCTTCAAAATTTGATCGTTTTGAATTTCATGTGAATGTGAAAACATTTTGGATACTTTTCATGATGAATAAGATGGCCAAATATTTTTATTTGACTGGGTTCGACACAAGGGTTTTAGCAGGGTCTGCTTATTGATGGAGTGGGAGGGCTGGATAGGGAAATATTTAGTGTGAGGTGAGCTTGAGGTACATTAAGATGATGTCAGTTTTTTTAACATCATACATAACCTTTAACATTGCTTATGTGTTAGCTTGCCAAAGAAAACAAATCCATCTGCTTCATTCAGGGTTCTGCACACTTACCATTAGACCACTCTGCTTTGAATAGAATTTGAATATTATAGCACTTGAGTTATATTTTGATGTGGTTTCTAAAGATGAGGAAGAAGTTGTGCCCAGCAAATTAAAAAGTCTGCAAAACAGACAGACAATGTAGCTTGTAAAGAGGTCCAGCAAGTTAAAGAGAGGTATCATCCATCATTCTCTTTCATTATATTTGACATTTCAGTACCAAACCATGGTGTTTGTTTAGGACATAAGATTCTTCTAAAATTATTGAGCTAAATTTTGTTTGTCTGTTTGTTTGTTTGTTTTCTCCTTTCTTCCATCAAACATTGAGAATGTTAAACCTGTCATAGGACACTGCTCTTATGCTTATACATTTAACCCTTTGACTACGAAGAGTGACTAGCATCTAATTTCTCTTTACAATATTCCCCCTGAATCAAACATTAATATGCATCTATAGCTTTTTTGTTGAAAGTAGGTTATTTATATGGTCCTCTTTCACTGGAGCTTCTTTTTGGTGAAAGATGATTTATAAAAATTTACTGCAGATTGTGTTTGCTTTTCTGGTTTCTCTAAAATTTTAACAATTGGATAGGTATTTGTTACACACAGGTGTCATGGTGAAGGTCACAAGAATAAAGGAAATGATCAACAACTAAGCTCTTGATTGTTAATCAAATTCTCTTTGTCAGTACCCTAGGAAATGTATAGAGAACAGTATGGAGAATATGCATACTGAGTTTTAGGTGTTGAGGGTGAAAAATGAAAAACAAACAAACAAACAACAGCAACATAATAAAGACAGTGTCACACAGTCATCAAGGGTGAATTTAACACAGTGTTGTTGTGTTACTAAAATATTTAACACATGGAATGTTATTCTTGCTTCAGTCCAATCAAACCTAAAGAGAAAAAAGCAACTTCTGCACTTGATTTCTTTGGTTCTACTCCAGTTGAAAGGGAATCCAGGGAAACATTTGCTAATAAAAGAAAACAGGTGAATTACTAACCACACTTTTTCCACCCAGAATTTTTTTGTTAAGAAAAAATCAGGCATCCTGTGTATTTTAAACAGTTCTTCATTCATCATGCATTTAACAAGGAAAACTTTAAAACTCACCATACCTTGCCTTTCTATAAAATTCATGCATCACATATTAATTTTGGGCTTAATCATGCTTCCCTTGTAAACCCTCTACCAATCTCTTATACTAACAGTAGTTATATCAGGATGTACTACAGTTAACACATACCATGCCACAAAATTAATGGGTAATGACCAGTGTTTGAGTCATGCATTATTTAATCATATTCAAGAAACTTTGTGGATGGGGAGAGGAGATGTTGAAGAATAGTTTTGGCAAAAACAATACCATGGGCCCCCTTAAAGGGATAAGTCCTTTTGCTCCTAAGATATTTAAATCAACTGTCTTTACTGTCTGTCACACAAGTGTTATGAAAATATCGTTGAGAACATGTTGTTCAATCAATAAATATCCTCTTGTGTGAGGACTTTCTTTCTTCTGATATTATATTGCTGCCTGACTGTGAATTGGTATTGTTATGAGAAATTAGAAAATTGATCACTCTTAAGAGTGCAAATTTTAAGCTTGACCCAGAGCTTGACCCACTTACTGATCATCCCTTAGTTCCTTGTAGAACAATCAAGAATTTTTTATCCTTTTTCATTTCCCACAGAGATCTGACAAGTCTGAAGAAAATGAAGACTCCAAAGTGAATAGAAAAGAAGAGTATAAAAATGGGAGAGAAAAAGAAGGAAGAGAAAATGGGAATGTCAACCATCAAACAACAGAGCAACCATCAAAGAAAAGAAAGGAAGACTTCTCAGAATCAAAGTCTGAGGTTAAAAAGCCTTCCCCTGAGAAGACAAAGGTTTGTAAGCCTTTTGATCACCATGTATACTTTATTGTTACAAAATTAATGATTACTATTAATCCTAAATTGAACCTGCTACCCTGATACTAGAATGGATTGGATCTGATATGATAGCATGTGTATGGTATGTTGTTTAGGCAACTTGTCATTAAGCACTTCAATAAGGTACTTGTAGATGAAACAGTAACATTTTATGACTAAATTTGGCTTTGTATAGGATCCAAAAGCTCACTCAAATTTGTTAACTGGTGGTACATGTTGTATATGTAAACCTGTCCTACATGTACTATGACAGTTGATGGTTTTTACTCAGATGCACATTACTAACAATACTTGGAACAAAACATTACTTACAATTATACTAACACTACACAAAATACTACCATTACTGTACCTAGAATCTATACAAAAACAGTAACAATAGTGACAAAACTTTTAGGTACATTCTTGGTGATTTTAACTTTGACAATCTGGGAAGATATTACCACTTTGTCTCCATTTTTCAAAGCAGCAGTGTCTTTCACTACCAACATTTCTTTTGGGACAACTCTTGCCTCAATTGGACAACTATTACCTGTTAGAATGTTTGATATACATATAACATTTGTTCACTTCAAATTTTATCCATGGACTCTTTAGGAAGTACCAAAGACAACTCCTGCTAGCAAACTGGCTGTCAAAGCTGCCACAGTTCCAGAAACTCCAGTTAGAGACTCAAAACCAAGTGCAAAGAAAACTGTTACTCCGAAAAAGAATAAAAAGATGTTAGTAAGGAAACTCCCACCCAAGGAACACCAAAGGTGTCAAAATCAGAGGAAGTGGTTGAAGTTCCACCCTCATTGGAAAAGAAAAAATCTGGCTTCCGTAGTTTTATGGCGAGAGATGGTCCTAGGGCACTTGGTTCAAAGGAAATCCCTCGGGTAGGTTTCAAAGACCAAGATCTGATTGTTAATTCTCCCCTCTAGCTGCTACACATTTTTCTGTAAATAATGAGAATTTGTTGTTAGATCATTAATAACAACTACATGTACTTGATAAGTTTTAGTGTTCTCATTACCTGTTTGCTGGATAATCTATGGATATTCTAGAGAGAAGTTGCATGTTAATTTCTTACAGTAGTTAAATTATTATTATCTCTCAAAAGCTCTTTGTGGTTTGTTTTCCATCCTTTCAAATTTTAATGAGAGATGCAGGACAAAGGAAAATGAAGATTATTAGAATTAAAGCTGGTTTGGAAAATCTACAGATACATTTTACTGGAAAAATTGTAAAATGCATGCTTTGATTAACCCTTTTACTCCCAAGATCTCAATAGTAATTCTACTTACTGTCTGCTATACAATTCTTGTAATTTTAGTTTGGAGAATTTGGTCTTGGATCAACTTATAATCCCCTGGTTGATATTTGTATTTATTCTCATCACTTGTCTGCATGATATTGTATTTACATTGTAAGGAGAAGTTCTGTCTTGGTCACTCATGGGAGTTAAAGGGTTAAACAAAAAAATGTATTTTATCCTTTTACTATCAGTTGATGTTCAGATGTTGGTTCAATGTCAGTATCTGAGAAACTGCACACCTACCCCTCCCCTAATACAACATTAACCCTTACTTGTTAGCAGTTGACGGTTGTTGGGTTAGGGGAGGGGTAGGTGTGCAGATGCTGACATTGATCTGAAATGTTTATGGTGTATCTACAGAGCTTTTACTTTTTTGCCATTTATAACTTTTCAGTTTGGACAGTATTAAGAGGCCCTCAAGGGAAGAATGAATTATTTGTCTGCTCATCTTGAATTATGCATGCACTTGATAATTTAATTTTTAGGAAGTGGAAAACTGTTTGGATGGACTGACATTTGTTATTATGGGAATCTTGGAAAGTATTGAGAGAGAGAGGAGGCAGCAGATTTGATTCAAAGATATGGTGGAAAAGTTACCCACTCAGTTAGCAAGAAAAAGAGTTATATTGTCATGGGATGAGATCCTGGGGAGAGTAAACTTTCCAAGGTACATTGTAATGCACAGCTCAAAAGAGGAAAAAAAGAAGAACTGTGAACATAAACATATCAGCTGCACATTTTCCCTAAATTTGTATAACAAATCTGGGTGCAGCTTACTGCAAATACACCTGGGAAACTTGCCACAAATTTGCATAAATTAACACAATTCATTGACAATTTGTAAGTCTGTAGAGCAAACTAACAAGAACTGAAAAATTTACCATGGCAGAAATTTATCATTTTCTTTCTGTTGTTGGCTTCTAAGAGAGTTTTTTTTTTTTTTCATGAGCATAAACTTATATTTCTTTTTTGTTTGTTTTTTTTTTACTTTGGTGCTTATCTGTCAGGCTAAGGAATGTGGAACATCACAAATAGATGAAGATGGTCTGTTTGAGCTTGTCAGAACAAAACCAGGCAAGAAGACCAGCTATGAATCACCAAGTGTGGAGAAGAAGACAAAGAAGAAGGAGAAAGCTGAACCAATGGAGTCCCTCAGCCAGGGAAAAGATCAGTTTGAAGGTGATTTGTCACAACTGAGTGAAAGATCTGTTCATCTCCAACAACACAAACACCATCATCATCACTTGCACTGAAAGCTGGGTGTTTCAAACCTTTCCAACAATTAGCACAAGAGTATGACTTCACTGAAAGTTTAATTCACACTTCAGCTGTATGCCTTAAATTATTTCCTCACCAGTAAGCATCCTACATGTACTGTGTGATGATTACACTTAGTGAATATAATTTCTCTTGTTTGCATCCTGGTACTGTACGTGACTTTGTATTAAAAATACTGATAACATAAAAATACATGCATATGTATGTGATATACATGTACCAGTAAAATGTCATAGGAGCCATAGGTTACTGTGCAACTGAGAACATAATTTGTTTAGTTTGTAGTTTAACCTTTTAGTTTAATAGTTTGTCTGTCTGTCTGTCTGTCTGTCTGTCTGTTTGTCTGTCTGTCTGTCTGTCTGTCGGTCTGTCTGCTCTTTTGTGTATGTTCATTCTTCCAATTACTGTCCTTCTATCTGTCACTTATTCTCCTTGTTCTCCTCTGTCCAGTCACCCACACGTCAGTTTTACCACTACTCTAAATTCCACCTTTAGATTCATCTGTTGGATCATTTTACTGTACTTCCACCTGTAGACTTGTTCGTGTTACTTAAATTGAGTTACAAGAAAGTACAGTTTTTTTTGTTTTTTGTAGCTTTATTTTTTTAATCTACATAAGATTTTGACAGTAAAGGTAATTTGTGTGTGTGTGTGTGTGTGTGTAGGAGAACCAAGTCTGTTATGGGTTGACAAATATCAACCTTGCGCATTGAAGCAGATTATTGGTCAGCAAGGTGATAAGAGCAAAATGAGAAAGCTGATGAACTGGCTGAGAGTTTGGGAAAGGAATAGAAAGAAACCAGCCTCTAAATGTGAGTACATGTGTATTTGATTGTCAAGATGCTTTTCCCTCAAATACATGTACATTTAACCTCTCTTCAGGCAAGTATGCAAACGGTTAGGCAAACTGTCAGAGAAAGCAGATGAAGAAGTTTGGGTTGTAACCAGATAGGGGAACCATTCTAGGGGGGGGGGGGAGAGTAGCAATTCTCCTAGTCACCTGATGCTACTGAAATTATTTTAAGCTTTGGCAAGATTAGTCCTCTGGCTCTTGTGCTGACTTTACAATTGACCCTTTAACTCCCATAAGTGACCAAGACAGGATTTCTCCTAACAATATCAATGCAATATCGAGCAGGCAAGTTATGAGAATAAAAAAAAACATTAATTAGGGGATTATTAGTTGATACAATACCAAATTATCCAAATCATAAGAATTTGATGGCAGGCAGTAAGAAGTACTAGGGAGCTATTTGGAGTAAAAGGGTTCTGTACATGAACCTAACCTTAATCTACAGATACAGGTTACAGAAGACCTTAAATTGAGTTGTGATGCAAATGTTGTCTAGCTGTAGGCTTAATACCTTTCACACTGAATCCAGATTGTTTCTTAATTCCCACATTCAGAGATACAGTTTTTAAAGAGCTGCAACTCATGGACTTTGATGAATCTATTTCACCCGACAGTCACTTATACATGTAGTTAGTATGTTAGTAATGGAATCACAATTGTAAGCAATTTTATTTTTTACAGCTTACTTTTTCAACAAAGACCAAGATGGGTCGTCCTCTAAGGCAGCTCTTCTGTCCGGTATCCCAGGAGTTGGTAAAACCACATCAGCGACACTGGTTTGTGAAGAGCTTGCTTTTATGTACATTAAAATGAATGCCAGTGACACACGGAGCGAAAAGACCTCGGAAGAACACATTTCTCAGTCACTGATCAATAAAACCATGGATGGCCTTCTGACAGGTTGTCAAATTTCTGTAAGATTTGGAATGACTTTGATATTATTGAAAATGCTTCATTCATTCTCCTGTCTTACTAATTAAAAGTGATTTTCCACTGTTGTTAATTTATTATAATCAACTGAGTTGGTAACGTAAATTGACCACCGAAAAGAGTTTTAAAGCTGAGTTTAGCACTTCATATTGCTGCCTACGCCTGGCTTATAAGGTAATATGAAATTCAATCATTAATGATTATCAATATATGCATTACTGGTACCTGGAAAAGCTCTCATTTCAGTTGGTACTTGAAATCATTAAAATTTACCGGACTTTTCTTTGCCAATGATGATAAGAGAAGCCAGGGTTATTTAGCACGTTAGTGAGATCTTTAAAATATTGTGCAAATTGCTAAACTAAGGAAGGTTTTGTGGTAAATTCAGGACGGTATGAGACTATATCACACGATGAGAGGCTTATACTTTTTTATAGTTGATTGAACGAAAATGCCATAGGCTTTGGTACTAAGTAATGAATTGCCTTTTGTACTTTTAAAGCATTGACAACAGATCAAATAAAATATGAAAGTTCGGCGATGTAATATCAAAGTGCTTTTTACATCAATCTGTATTTTTTTGCTTCTTTTGTATTATTATTATTATTATTGTTAATATTATTATTATTGTTATTATTATTATTATTATTATTATTATTATTATTATTATTCTGTTTTGAACATCAACGCCATTTCAGTAATATATTTCAACGCAGCTCACATCAAAGTGTTGGGATGTCATCTCAGTGCCAGTTTGGATCGTTATGGATGGGAATGTTTAATTTGTTGACAAAAAATAAGCTAAATGAAAGCTTTCATCCACCGCACCACCTTTCTTTTTTTTTTCCTCTAATTCTATACCTCCTCCACTTTCCATCCTACAATAGTAGTAGCCAGGAGAAATTGGGAAGTTAAGATACCTTTGTATTTTTTATTATTTTCTACCACGTTTTGGAATTTTTTTCGATTGAGCAAACCAATAAAAACTCACTACTATTTGTATTCCAACAGACGGAAATTTCCCAATTTTCGAGAATTCTACGTTATCCGGCCGAAGAAAATCAGATTTAATTTTTCCTTGTATTTTTAGTCGTATTCGCTATACAGTAACTTTGTGCTAAATTTGGCCTCATATCATTTCTTTTCACCCACCCGTCGAATTACGGCACTATTGGTCAACTTTTCCTATTCATAGGCCGACAAATCGCCTGCATCTTTAATAAGAAAATTTCCTTCATTATGCTTTCAGTATGTGTGTTTCTCATTCTCCCCAGTCTTTTCAAGACCTCTCGTATGGCAATCCAGCGCCCTTCGATCAACCTAAGCAGGCGATGGTTTAACGACCACCACATCAGCAAAAAAAGAAAAAAATAATAAATTGAAAAAATAGCATGTTTATGTCATTGTGCTATACTCCGGATTAATGAAAATGAAAAGTTAAAAAATGTAATATGAGGCCCTCTCCAAACTTGGCGTATAAATTGTGAAACAGAATAGCAACAAAATAGAATCATGCATCACGAAATAAACAATGATACACGATTTTCAGTTTCGAGTTCGATGAGCTCATATTCAGCTTCTTCAATACTGCTGGTGTGAACAAGTGCACCGTTTTTTTACACTCTTGTGGGGCAAATCACATTATCACAGGAGTTAAGGTGAGGACAGAATATGTTAATAGTGACCTAATGCAGTGAATGAGATAAACGGGTATTGACTAAAGATACAAATAGAAACAATTTGAGACATGAGACACTAGAATGAAAGAAATGCCGATCTTATTTACTCGTCACGAACGCAGGATCGAATCTTAAACCGTCAGATTCTACGATTTGAAGTTCTCACATATAGCTATGGATTTCTCGTTAATGAGCCATGACATACAGTGGATATATAAAGGATCATCCTGCATACTGCCTAGATCATCAATGTCGAAAGTTTCATGTCTTAAAATACATAATGATAAAAAGAAAATTTCAAGCTCTTTCGTGACAGAGGAAAAAATCATTTTTAACCAACGACCGAAAAAGAAAACCCTATCCGTCAGATCAGGTTAAACGACAGATTAAATATCAATGCTGACATGTAAATAAACATACCAGACCTTGTGGTGGCTTATTTATCTTCCCATGAGGGATTTACGAAGCCGAGGCATTTCTGATTCCAGTATCAAGTGCGTCACATGTCTGTAGGAACTATTATACAATTATTTATGGCCTCGCTTACTGCATCCAAACCCAGGAGACAGTTCTGGAGCTCAAAGAGACAGAGAGCGAGGGCCTCAGATTTCCCCTCCAACTTAAAGACAACTGGTTCAGTGACAATTTTTTCATAAAATTCCTGCAAGATACACTGAGGGTTTCTGCACACAAAGATGCATGGAGTACATAGATTTAAAAAATTTTGAATATCTTCTTCGGATATTTCTTTAGGAGGAGTACTTATGGCATTCGCTTTAATTCTTTATAGCACGCGACACGATTTAAATATGCTTTTCTCTAGGTACAACGAGAAGTCAAGTATTTTTCTTGGAAAAGAACTTTATTGGAGTTAAATCAATTGCAAGTACCCTTTAGGTGAGGAAAGCTAATGAAGAAATATGTAGCATATTATAATCGAAAGACATGAAAATTGGAAAAAAATATACATAAAGAATACATATTATTGATGTGACTTCTTTAACTTTGTATATCTCCCTCCGGTGATGAATATGTGCAACTTGTTATTACAAAGTATACGTAGATATCAACGCAACAACCAGCAGAAAAATTAGTGTTCATTGAGAGCAGAGAAAGTTATCTCTTATAGCGAAGTATCTTGATGTAACACTAAATTTTCTTTACATGTGAGAGAAAGCCAATGAATGAAAACAACTGAGGGATGGATGCCCATTTCAACTTGTTCGGGACTCGACTACATACGAACAAACCCATCTTGATTTTGTGAATCAGCATCGTTTTCATATTAGGAAGGAACAGATTTTATTATTCAAAAACTGATTGTATCGGAATGAGATCCAGAGCGCCACTAAATTTGACTGGACACTTACGCTTTTGACTGCAAAAATATTTAGTGCAGAATTGGCGGGAGTTGTTTACAGTAAAAACAAGTTCACCGTTATTATTTTCAGAAACGCGTTCACGGTGAAAGTGGAAAATGAAAATTTGAGAGAACTGTAACGCTAAAGGGGAGATGACCAAAAACAAATGTTTATCATATAAAATACGCTGATTGGTATCGCCAATCAGCTACTGGACGTCACCCGCTTTTCGCACCGCTTTATTAGGTTGGTGAATGAATGGCAAATTCTCATTCCTTAATAAAGTCGCCTTTCAAGTTGTCTGTAAATGCCTATGGTGTTTATATAATAAACAAAATAATACATGGCTGCTTGTACATATGGGATTACGATTCTCGATATCTCACGAGAGAGCGCATTTGAACGAGGGATATATCGAGTTGATAACTTGAAGAGAAATTGCAGTGGTACAATATAACTCACGGTGTGAATTCATCTTTATCGATTCAATTATGGCAGAATGTAACATTTCCTGCTCTGAAGAGAAAAGGGATTTTGCGGATTGCGAGTATTTTGCACTAAAAGAGAAAGAGCTGCATTAAATTACAAACTGAGTCAATTAATACTCAGGCAGAAACATGAAAACAAATAATAATCATACAAGAATAAAACAAATAAAAAAACAAGCACAATAACTAAGAAGAACAGCAATTTTGATCACGAAACTGGGAATTAGACGAGGATAGATATTTTAAACTCGTGAATATGTAACCTTCATTTATTTATTAAAATTGTTGTAAAGCAAAGTATTATTCTTAATATTTTCAGGCATGTAGAATTAACAAATGACATCATTTGGAGAACAGAGTGATTCAGAGGATGACAATTTAACAGGTACAAACCAATGTTCATTCTGCAACTGATTAGAGCTCTAGAGCTAATGTTATTTACCATGAAAGATCGTAATCTTAACTTTCTTGCGGTTGACAACAATTAAGTTTAATTTCAGTCGAATTTTCTCGGGTTATTGTTGTCAGACGTAAAAATATTTCCCTTGCGTACAATTATAAATTTCATTGGTTTCTCTCATTTACCTCGTGGTTAAATAGTTTGCGCGTGATGCAATTTCCTAAAGCCTTAAACTCCTAGAAGTGATATAACGTGTAACTTATCCCTGTAATATTAATACATTATCCAGCAAACAGATAATAAGAATATTCAAAGTTTTATCAGGTAGAATTCGTTATCTATGAACTAACACCAAATCTCCGAACCTAATTTGAAAGGAAACATGTAGCAGCTGGAGGGGAGAATTAACAATTAGATCACGGGAGTTAAGGTTTAACTGTGCGTGATCATTATGCGACAGAAGCGCGTGATGAGCATGTGACAAAGCCAGATAACGTGCTCTACATAATTATAGCTCTCGTCAATATCAAAACCAGCTATTATCTCCCGAAAACAAACGAAGTTTGAAACAAAGCTCGAGGTTGAAGAAAAATATACAAAATGCCTACGTTTCTTTTGATATCGTAACACTCGCGATATATAGTAATAATGACGGTTATATGGTTGTCGGTGAGATACCAAAATTTTTTCAGTTTCCAAAACGTGACATCTCCACCGCACGCTGTAAGCGTACCATTTATATCTTCATATATAAAGGCATAAATGTCGTCATGATAACCGGATTTATAAACATAACAGTTTTACTTTCCATGTAGGCTGGTTTTTTTTAATTGTTTTTTTTTTCATCTAAAGCTGAATTCAATTCTTTTTAAAGGAAATAGTTTTTGTAATGAGAAATTGTTGTATTACAATTTCCGAAATTGAGGTGGTTTTCCGGCGTGCTGACTTTCGGTGCAGTGGATCTCTGTATTCGATGCTCCTATATAAAAATTGAATTGGATTCAAATTTTCAATCAATATCTTTTGAACAAAAAGGATGATACATGTCCACTACGTATCTACAAGGTGGTTAGTAGTATCATTTCTAACTGGTTATCTGTCAGAGTTCGGTTTTAGTAGATATACCTTTTCGCGCAATGACGTACTAAATGGGCACAATGTTTGAGTGTTTACATCGTGCGCTGGAAGATAAAACTGTGAGCTCAGTAAATGCTGATATTGGAGCAGAATCCTGTTCTGTAGGGCAAGACCACCTCAGCAGCTCCACGAAAATTTCCTAAATTTCCCAATCACTACTATATTGCAGAAGATTCTCTTTTGATCAGCGATTCGTTCACAAATAAATTTAAAGTTCTCTTTTGCCTTGCGATATCGAAATGTTTTTTTTTAGTTTCATTTCGCTTTCAGTCTACTTCCTCCGCCAAGTACTCATTTGGCTTGGCAGTGAATTCATTCGATGGCCTACAAGATTAAGCTATGCAGAAGTCTGCGTGTTGCGCTTGGCTTTCAATTTGATGTTGATAAAGTTTCTTTAAACAAGAGTTTTGATAAAAAGGTAGTTCCCATTGCCATCTGCTCCAGTCCCTCGGAATAATCTCGTATTCAGTGTCTTTTTTGAATTCGAAATGAAAAATTCGGGTCCTTCCCCAAAATAATTCGGTAAAGGGCCAGCTACTTCCAGTTATTCAAAATTTCCTGGCTCCTTCAAAAAAAAAAAAATGAATGGAATATTTTATTTACTAGAACTTATGAATTTGTTAAAGAACCTTTGTCCAGCAATTTTCGATAGCTTTGAGGGAAATTTTACAAATGCACTTTATAGAAGAACAGAGATCTTACACTCGCTGCCACGGGTCGATAAAAGTGTTTCGTTACGCAATAGGCTCGCGGGGTGTTGGTAGAATTCGTGACGGTTACGTAGATCTTCGAAGGTGTTTCGGGCTTGAATAAGTTTTGCGAATTCTCCCAGCCCCACACGCGATAAAATGAAGAAATGAGAGAAAGAGTCTTTTATTGCATAACATTTTATCTGTGTTTATCCATGCCTACCGGGTACAATTAGGTTGTATATTGCAACTCACGCATTTTGATAAGGGACAGCCTTGAACAACGTTTCATTAGAAAAGACTAAAAAACAAACAAGTAAACAAACAAACGAATGAAAAAAAACAAACATGACACAACCCGCTGAACTTGACTGGAGCTGTCACGCAACCACTATAGCGTGACGGAGGAAACTTTGAGATTCTCATTCATCCTCTATGATTAAGTATACAACGTTTTCTTTAGGTTACTTTCATTTGAGTCTCCTTTTTTTTATTTTTAACGATGTAGCGCAGTGCAATCGATTCAATTTTATTTCTAGCTATGGCAGAAAGCATCCTCCCAACAACGGGAGAAGAACTGGAGGTGAAAAATGAGTTTCCAGCTACAGGTAAGAAAAGGCAACAAGGAAAGACTTCTTTATGGTAATTATGTACTGTTTGTTGATTAAGTACACCCTAATTCTGGTGTACAATTTTTTGGATCACTTCAACTTGAAGGTTTTAGGAATCCACAAAATACGCCAGTATTAGAACGCTAGTTGTAATCGCACATAGTTGCGATCACTAACAAAGTTGAAATATCTTCACGGTAATTTCAGCGACAGAGAAAAGTCAAGTTACGTCAAGTGACGCTGAACTGGATGTAGAAGATGACCTTTTAAGAGGTGAGAAAAGATTTTTTGAAAGAAGTCCCCGCGGTGAAGTTTTTTTCACGTTTACATCAAAATTTACACATTTACATCAAAACGTTCTGTGAATAAGGTTTTGAAACAGCAAAAGATTGTTTCTTCAAATTTCAGACTTTGTTACCGGTAAAATAAAAAACAAAGCAAAAAAACAAGTTGTTGCTCGGTTAGATCGAGCAAAATGCTTAGACATCATTAGTTATTCATAAGCATTAAAGCGACAAATTTGAAGGCGACTTAGCTTTGAAGAGCCCTAAATTAAAGAAGAATGGGCCAAAATTAGCTTACTAGGCTTTGTAAAACTCAGTTTTTTTTAGTTTTAGAAGTACTTACTTGTAAATCAACACACAGTGTTTTGGAGATTAACGATGTATCTACAGTTTGCACCTAAAATGGAGGATATTTGCGTAGTAAAAGTATTATCCTTTTGCACTTGGAAATATTGTAAATTTGGTCATTTTTAGTATGAAAGTCAAATTCGGCAAGAGAGAGCTGTTGGTATCCGTAGACCCGTCAAAGTGGAGTTTTGAAAAATTTTGCAAACAGACAACTTTTTGAGGCCGCCAAAAGGAAAGTATTTGCGCTAACACATTTTTGTCCCTTATTGTTCAGTACATGTTTGGCAGAAATTTTACGCAATTTGAGAATTCTACATAGAAGAGGAGGCATTTTGTCTCGGCCGTATCGCCTGTTTTGGTCTTCTAAATATTTCGCGCCTCTTTAGACAGTTATGTCAACACCAGGCCTACGCTGTAAACCACCAGCCAACAAAATGTGGAACCGCTGACTTTCGCAACAGGCAAAATGGCACTTCGCGGGAAAGTGATACTTTCCCAATCGAATTTCTCCAGCTAGCCTCTTCGAGTATGTTCTCAATAGACAATTACATGTATGAGAAAAACCAAGTGATAAAGAAAAAAAGACAAAGAAAACTTTTTTTCTAGCGCACTTTTCTCAACGCTGGTAAAACCACGAATTCTTGTCACTCTCAGACTCTCAGTACGATGTTTTTTTTTTTCGCTACCAGAACATTCCCAAGTTTTAACCTTTTTCGGTCCTGGCTTTGCCTTGCTTTTGCAGTAACTTATGCGGTTTGATATTCTAACATGAAATTTTGGAAAACGTAACCCAGATGTAAAAGGGTCATTGGAAAGTCTCTCGACCTAAATGTAAACCAATCAGACCTGATGTGGTTATAGCCAAGCTACAGCTAAAACTCCAAATAGCTTGTGTATTTTAAAGAAAACAAAATGCACAGATAAACTCTCCTGAAGGGCGATTGTAAACAAAGTTGAGTTAAGATAGGATCTTCCGGTGAAACTTGTGATATTTTGGAAAACGTAAGCCAGGTGTAAAAGGAGTTTGGAAAGCCTCTCGACCTAAATGTAAATCGATAAAGTTGTAGTAATAGCCAAGCTACAGCCCAGACTCCCAGCAGCTTTCACACAAACAAAATGTACAGATATTAAACTTTTCTGGTTGTTTTTTCTCATAGTTCTAAGCTCCTTTAACCTAAAAGTTCATCTGGATATATAAAGTTGGCATCATCCGTCATCTCAAGGGTCGTATCACTCATTACTAAATTATTAACACTAAAACGTTGTGTTTTCAGAAATAGCGAAAGTATTTCTGGAGAAAGGTAACAAAGAATACGAACAAGGAGAAGCTAATGACGCAATAAACTCCTACACGGAAGGACTTCAAGTGAACTGCAAAGATAAACGGCTGAACGCCAAGCTTTACAGCAACAGGGCAACAGCTCATTTCCGTTTAGGTAACAATTTCATATGTAAACATATAAATCTGTCGTGCAGCGTTACAAGATAACGGAACACACAATCTGCATCAAGAAAAGGAAAAATTGAGCAAATGTAGAAAAGTAGCGTAAAAACATAAATCGCCCTGTGGTGGATGAAAATTAAGCAAAGGGATGATCCTCGTTTCATTTTAAGTAATTGTAATTTTTTAAGGCTTCTTTGTTGCAATTCCATATGATGACCACTTTTTAAGCCTTATTTCCTGAATCTCATAGTAAACTACGTGGAATGTCTCGATGATGCAACAGTTGCCGTTCAATTGGAACCCACTTTAATCAAGGCTATTAAGAAAGGTGGGTTTTCCAGACATAATCCATCAACATTCTATTCTCTAATTTCGTCAAAAGAAGATTGTGTGGTGTGTGGCAGGTAACTGCAACCCAAGTGTCAATTGTATCTGGTGTGTCGATGTCTGTGATGTGGGTATAAAGGATAAGAAAATGTCAATAAGCTCTCAAATACCGCCGCCTGTTTAGTTCCGTTGTAGAGCGCGGAGGTCGAGGGTTCAAGCCCTAGACCGGACCATCTCCCTGAGTCTTAAAATATCTTAGGACAATGTGCTGCCGCCTAGGCTGTGACATCTGCAAATGGTTTGATATTCTAGTCCCGGATAAGAACGGAAAACCGTCAGCCTTGTTTCTTGCATCTTCTCTGTAACTCAAGGAGGCACCTGAAAAATTCCCTTTCAAAAGGTGTAAACCACTCAATGCAGTTTACCCGAAAACTTCCCCGAAAAGTGCTGAAAAGCGCATAATAGCACATTAAAATGAAGAATGCGCGAGATACATTTATCGTTATCATCATCAATTGAAGCTTAATTGGTAGCTGCTTTCCATTAGCTTCTTATTGTTTATTTTCAGTTCTTTCACGAGTTCAAATTTCCTTCATTATCACAATTTTTGTTCCCGGCCAAATGGAAAATTTGGGAAAGTCCATTTTATCAGTACGTTTATACTTTAACAGTGATGAGTTACTTCGTACCACCAATTATTCTCTCCTTTTCAGGAGCCAGAGCTTGTGCCGAACTTTGCTTGTATAAAGAAGCAAGGAGCTGGTTGCATATGGGATTGGCCGTATCCTTTAACGAATGTTTCAAACGTGATACGAGATGCAATGCGAGTAATATTTCAAGGGAAATCAATACTTTCCGGAGAGATTCTTCAACACATAGTGGAAGCAATATTCTCTTATACTGCACTGAGCAGTTTAAAGAAGCTAAGATATTATTAAAGAGTTCTTTCGACTATTCCACGAAACTTTACTCAAAAGAAGAGGCCATATCAATTAATTCCCAGAGTTTGGGCTGAATACCCCTCATTTTTGTCCTCAGACGAGCATCACCATGACGACCGAACCTAAACCAATAAATGCGCTTCAGAGCAGGTTAAAACTCTCCACTAGCTTAAGAGCGTTTGTCTTTAAAAATCAAACATATCGCGGCAAGGGTGGAAAATTCGATTCCTTTCTTATTTCAATGTTAGATAGGCTAGACTGTAACTAAAATCACTGGATACTTTTTTTGGCAAAATATCTTTTTATTTCAGAGAAAAATACAAATAACGAAATTCTGTTAAAATCGTCATTTTTAGCAGCAAATTATTGCACGAGTTTGAGGGCTTCGCGTGCAAAAACGAATCACTATCTCGTCTTTCAAACACTCAAATCTTCTTTTACGATCTCATAAGACCTCACAAAAGGATTTTTTGTAAACATTGCGCTCTTCTTTTCTCTTAAAATAATTTAATTTCGAAAGCATGCATTTCTCTTCAGTAAAAATACTTCGTGAATAAAATTAATTTTCATCATGTGTTAAACCTTCAAATGGATTAAGCTTTTGGTGGTTGAATTTCGAAAAGATGTTCTCATTATTACTGTAAAAATTTGTTTGGGCAAATGATTGAGAGCGATACAAAAGCTTTTCAAAGTCCGTTAAAATGCAGTTATTTGACCTTTTGCGGTCAACATTCCAGTCGCGAGTCACGCATATTTTAATATGTTTCAACCCATATGAGGCCGAAAAATGTACATAGAAAGATATTTCCAAATGCTCTAACCTCATTTGCCGCAGAAGACCGATCCAGAGACCATTTTAGTGTGATTCTCTTGTCGTTCGTCGTATTTAGGTCTGTGTAAGTAATAACGTCCGATAAAACCACCAACCCTGTCGAACACCATCTTGTTGTCAAACGTTCCATATCTTTCTTCACTGTGGCATCTTATTCAACGGTTCAGTTGACTGCGAGTATTACTCAGTTTACAATACACTAAAAAATTACATCTGACAGTCTCATTCAATGCTAAACTGAGTTGACTACAAACATGTACGCCCTTTGAGTATTTGGGTTGTCACGCAATACTGGTGACAAAGGAACTTTAGGGGGTAGGTGAAGGGCAAAACTCCATATAATTAAGCACTATCAGAATTGAACTCTTGGAACCTACAAATTATTTTATTCTGTAAACATTTTTGTGATAGTGTCATCTCTGTCTGGTGACAAACAGTAAAATACTTTTATTTATTGCAGGGAATTATTCTTGTTTTTTTGGCACTCTGTGCCTGTCGTACTTATTAGGGGTGTTTTTCTTTCCACTAAAATTGCAAGGAATACCCCAATAGCATGAAAGAGAACCTTTAGTACATTTTTACAACACCATGCTACAAAACGCAGTGGTGGGGATGTGTGGCTTATGTTAGGCTGGGGTGCTATGCTCCGTGGCCAATGGATGGGGCTTGCATAAGGGAGTGGTATTATTAACCGCTGTTAACAGACCCAACTACCGTTTAAAACCATAAACTACAGAGGGGCCGACATATGTGCACTCGGCACAAAATAAGGTCGATCTCATCTTCAGGACCGGTAAATTTGAAAGCCGACTCATGACTTGCGATATTCTTGGTGCATGAAAGTAAAGGAACAATTTCCGTTTCACGCATTCGATCTCTATTGTTGTAACCACAAACTCCGCCAATAAGCAACTTGAACGAACAACAACCTTCCATTTTTATGTAACAAAGTTGACTGTGTAAGTTAGTGTATTTGTGAAAAACAAAGCCCGAAGCCCCGCCTCTAAGCGAACAATAGACATCTTGTAATTACCATAAACCAGGTTTTGTTTACTTAGGCTTGCTATTTTTTAGCAGGTACTAAATTTAGTTTTCAACGAGTATTAGCCAAAGGCCCGATCTCCACGACTTACATGTAAGAGATTTCGATGTTCACATCAACAAAAAGCTTAGCAGCAGAGTGACGTCTCTTTACTTTCCCCTTCCCCTACCCCCTAAAAAATTAACTTTCCATTGTATGATTTGCATCGCGTGGCGACTCTCCGTATACAAAACTACGTTGACTGCAACATATGTGTAGTGCCACTTTTAAAAGCATCGATCAGATCTACTGCACCTCAAACCGAACAACACTCACAGTCAACTGAACCGCTGGAGAAGATGCCACAGTGCAGAAAGATGTCAAACGTTTTACAACGAAGGTTGGTGACAGTTTGCAGATTGACAGGCAGTTTCATCGGATGTTATAAATACGATGAGCGACAAGGTAACCAAAGTAAAATGGTCTCTGGATCTTTCTTCTACGGCAAATGAGGTTAGAGCAATTGGAAATGTGTACCCATGTACATTTTCCGGCCTCATATGAATCATATTAAAGTAGGTGTGTGACTCGCAACTGGAATGTTGACCGCGAAAGGTCAAATAACTGCATTTTAACGGACTTTGAAAAGCTTTCGTATCGCTCTCAATCATTTGCCCAAAGAGATTTTTATAGTAATATTGAGAACATCTTTTCGTAATTCTACCGCCCAAAGCTTAATCCATTTGAAGGTTTAGCACATGCTGAAAATTAACTTTACTCATTTAATCATTTTACACGCAAAGAGGAACGTAGTGTTTACAAAAATCGTTTTCTGAGGTCTTATAAGGTTATAAAAGAAGATTTGAGTGTTAAAAAGACGAGATTGTGATTCGTTTTTGAATGCGAAGCCCTCAAACTTGTGCAATACTTTGCAGCTAAAAATGACGATTTTAACGGAACTTATTTATCTGTATTTTTCTCTGAAATAAAAAGACATTTTGCCAAAAAAGTATCCTGTGATTTGATTTATAGTCTAGCCTATCTAATATTAAAATAAGAGAGAAATCGAATTTTTCACCCTCGCCGCGAAATTTAGAATTTGTCTGACTTTTACAGACAAGCGCTCTTAAAATCAAATCTCTGAAAAAGACCAACGTTCGAATTATCATTCCAGTTTTAAGGTTCTGTCTAATACTCTCACTGTTTTTGTAAAATATACATTTCCACTGCATTTTCGCAAAACTACTCATGATTTATTCCCTTTATAACCCTTGACACCTTTTAAGATTGAAAATGACAACAAACGTCTGCTTCAATTACTAAGGAAAACTAATGCCGAACTAAAAGTCATAACAAACAGTTCTTCCAATCTCGGTAACGCTTATCAAAGTCTAGGACAGTTCAAAACAGCCATCCAGCACCATCAACGTGATCTAGAAATTGCTAAAGAAGTGGGAGACAAGGCCGGAGAGGGGAGAAGTTACTGCAATCTTGGCAACGCTTATCAAAGTCTAGGACAGTTCAAAACAGCCATCCAGCACCATCAACGTGATCTAGAAATTGCTAAAGAAGTGGGAGACAAGGCCGGAGAGGGGAGAAGTTACTGCAATCTCGGCAACGCTTATCAAAGCCAAGGACAGTTCAAAACAGCCATCCAGTACCATCAACGTCATCTAGAAATTGCTAAAGAAGTGGGAGACAAGGCCGGAGAGGGAGGAAGTTATGGCAATCTCGGCAACGCTTATGACAGTCTAGGACAGTTCAAAACAGCCATCCAGTACCATCAACGTCATCTAGAAATTGCTAAAGAAGTGGGAGACAAGGCTGGAGAGGGAGGAAGTTATGGCAGTCTCGGCAACGCTTATGACAGTCTAGGACAGTTCAAAACAGCCATCCAGTACCATCAACGTCATCTAGAAATTGCTAAAGAAGTGGGAGACAAGGCCGGAGAGGGAGGAAGTTATGGCAATCTCGGCAACGCTTATCAAGGTCTAGGACAGTTCAAAACAGCCATCCAGTACCATCAACGTCATCTAGAAATTGCTAAAGAAGTGGGAGACAAGGCCGGAGAGGGAGGAAGTTATGGCAATCTCGGCAACGCTTATCGCAGTCTAGGACAGTTCAAAACAGCCATCCAGTACCATCAACGTCATCTAGAAATTGCTAAAGAAGTGGGAGACAAGGCCGGAGAGGGAATCGGTTATGGCAATCTCGGCAACGCTTATCAAGGTCTAGGACAGTTCAAAACAGCCATCCAGTACCATCAACGTCATCTAGAAATTGCTAAAGAAGTGGGAGACAAGGTCGGAGAGGGAGGAAGTTATGGCGGTCTCGGCAACGCTTATGACAGTCTAGGACAGTTCAAAACAGCCATCCAGTACCATCAACGTCATCTAGAAATTGCTAAAGAAGTGGGAGACAAGGCCGGAGAGGGAGGAAGTTATGGCAATCTCGGCAACGCTTATCGCAGTCTAGGACAGTTCAAAACAGCCATCCAGTACCATCAACGTGATCTAGAAATTGCTAAAGAAGTGGGAGACAAGGCCGGAGAGGGAAGAAGTTATGGCAGTCTCGGCAACGCTTATGGCAGGCTAAGAGAGTTCAAAACAGCCATCCAGTACCATCAACGTCATCTAGAAATTGCTAAAGAAGTGGGAGACAAGGCCGGAGAGGGAATCGGTTATGGCAATCTCGGCAACGCTTATCAAGGTCTAAGACAGTTCAAAACAGCCATCCAGTACCATCAACGTCATCTAGAAATTGCTAAAGAAGTGGGAGACAAGGCTGGAGAGGGAAAAAGCTATTGCTCTCTCGGCATGATTCATGAGGCTCAAAGAGAGTTGAAAACAGCTTTTGAGTGTTTTCTACGTCACCTAGAAATATCCAAAGAAGTTGGAGATAAGACTGGAGAGGCGTGCTCACTCCGCTCCCTTGGAATCAGTTTTGAGAGCCAAGGAAATCTTATGATGGCCTTTGACTGTTTTTACTCGAGCGTAGAATTGTATGATGATATCAGGGCCAGTCTTCAACTCAACGATCAGTGGAAGATTTGTTATCGTAATTTACACCAAGGAGCATACAAAGGTTTGTGGCGTATAAATCTCAAGCGAGGTCAAGTTGTGAAGGCTCTTCTTACCACAGAGAAAGGACGTGCTCAAGCTCTGAGAGATCTCATGGTCAGAAAATATCAGCCTGAAGATTCTTTAACGCCTAGAGCATCCCGCATTTCTCTGAGGTGGGTTCCATTGAGCACAGTTTTCATAGCTATTAATGGACCATGTGTTTACTTCTGGGTTTGCCTCAGTGAAAATAATATCCAGAAGAGAGAAGTACACGTGAACAAATACAAGTATGAGGATGAATTGAAAGTTTTCATGCAGGTACTGAACAAAACTGCTCTTAAGGAGATCAGTAAAAGAGATACTGTAACCATCGAATATCGTCCGCTTGACTCGCCGACAGAAGAGGAAGTGGCCAATGATGTGATCCCAGTTGATGTGAGGCACTCCCAATCCAGCGCTTTAAAGAAGCTGCATGATATCATCGTTACTCCTATTGCTGACCTGATCGAAGGCAACGACGAGATCACGTTCGTTCCTGAGGGGCCATTTTGCCTTGTACCTTATGCAGCGTTGCAGGACTCCAACTCATCATATCTAAGTGACTCTTTCAGAATTCGTGTGCTTCCCTCTCTGACGACCTTGCAACTAATTCATGATTGTCCAGCTGACTTTCACATGAAGACTGGTGCATTGCTTGTCGGCGACCCATGTTTCAAACATATCATCTATGAGGAAAGACTTTTGGTGCAACTTCCAGGAGCAAGGAAAGAAGTGGAGATGATCGGACGTATCCTTAATGTCTCCCATCTCACTGGAGAAATGGCAACAAAAGATGAAGTGTTAAAACGAATATCATCAGTGGCCTTAGTTCACATGGCAGCCCACGGTAAAATGGAAACTGGAGAAGTTATCCTGGCACCAAACACCACAAGAGATAACCCTCAGCCGCAAGAGAAAGACTATCTACTGACAATGAAAGATGTCATGGAAACTGGGTTGCGAGCACGTCTGGTTGTACTTAGCTGCTGTCACACTGCTTGTGGGGAGGTCATGGCCGAGGGTGTGGTCGGCATGGCGCGTGTACTTTTGAGTGCCGGTGCCAGATCTGTTGTGGTAACCTTGTGGGCGATTGGCGACGAGGGAACCGTGGAGTTCATGAGTTTCTTCTACCATGCACTTGCCAAAGGCAAGAAGGCAAGTGAAGCTCTCAATCAGGCCATGAAGTGTATGAGAGAAATCGAAAAGTTCAAGGAGGTGATTTACTGGGCACCATTTGTACTCATTGGTGACGACGTCAGCCTGGATTTCAAGGAGATTTAGAGGCTGCAGCAAGTAATAATTCTGTTGATACATTCTATTCAATACAAAGTTACATTTAATCATAATCTTTGCTCCTATGTGAGCAGTGATACTTGCGTGTTATTTTCCTTTCATTTGGGTTACGAATTCAGTTTTCTCTCCGCAAACTGATATGTAGTACAATCAAGAGGACACATTTACGATGATAACATTCTTTTTTGGAAACATGATAGGAGTAAAAAAAAACAAAAACAATCCTGTTGTGCAATGTATCGTTTCATGTGCTAAGAAATATTTCATGGCAACTCAACTATCCTCCCTAAACTTAGATTCTTTTATTTTTCAGTTAAGGAAGTGAGCATTGGAATCCCAGGGAGTTTTCGGATACCTACAAATGCTGATATTTGGACCAGAAACCAGTAAGCTACCGATGAAAGCTTTGTCAAGTCTTCTTTTCAAAGCAGGAAGAACCAAAGACGGCCAAAGTCAAGTTTAACAAGAGAACAGATTTCCATTGATTCAAGAGTTGCCTTTTTGCTTGTCTGAACTGCTTTTACGAGCTCAATCTTTGATATCCTTCTTAAACTACTGTTTGTTTGTTTGTTTGTTTTTTTTTCATATGATGTCTTAAAATTATCATGGCCAGCTGTGTGAGAAGTTATTTTTAATCTAAGTATTTGTACTGAGAGGATTTGGGCGTTACATTTACGTCGAAGTTGAAACGTCTTGAAAACGTTTTCCAGAGTTTTTTTTACAGAATTTTTTCTCAATCAGTTTAGTCTCATGAGTTATATAAAGCTATTACAGCCATGGGCGTGTGTAGAGAATTTCCATTGGAATTGGAGAATAATCAGTTGTCCGATTGCTGGATTATCTTAGTCTATGTCAGATGGAAATTGTGATGAACTTTTCGAGGATCTATACTCAGTCAATGGTACTTAAAGTTAGTTTCTGCCGATCAGAATTCGGTTTATCTGGACTTAAAATGACAGATTTTGGCCGTAATGGCAAGGGTTTAGACTTGGTATTAGTTAATTTTCTAAGATTTCTCCCTTAATTTTGAATGCGATAAATTGTGTAATTTTTTACAAGCAGAATGATGCATTTTAAGTATATTGTTTAAACTAATCGTCCAAAGGCAAAACGAGAAGTTTTATTTTATAATTTTAGTTACGGCTTACAAAGAATCGGTGGAAGCTCAGAACGAGCTAGAAAGTTGGAGCCAAATGTTTTATTTAGTTTCTCCGATTAGATTGTTTACTTACTATCTAGGTACAATAAACTAACATTGAAATGTCAAACAATGAAACAAGTCGCTTGGTATTTTGTTTGAATGGAAGAGGAAATCAGTAACAGAAAATTTCTGCATCAACCTGCATAAGCCATTTCTTGCCGTTTGAATTAGTATTCGCTTTATAACTTTTGCCCATTTCTTTGAATAGGTTTACTGAATGAGAGATAAACTTCGATATTTTCTGACTCTATAACTACTAATATCGATCATTGGCAACCGTTTCTCAGGATGTCACGCGACGCACTTTTTTAGTACGTTATGTGACAGATATGATGTTTTGTCACATCTTTTCTTTTGGAGAAGTGAGCGCACCTATGCCTTATTCGCTCAAATTTTGCCCATTTTCTTGGATAGAGTTATTAAATGAGATATAAACTTCGATATTTTCAGATTTTACATCTGCCAGTTTCATTGGCAGCCGTTCCTTAGGATGTCACGCGACGCCTTTTTTAAGCATGTAAAGCGACATGATGTTCAGTCATATATATTGTTGAAGAGGCAAGAAAAAACAAATTACCTTTCACTTTGAGAGATGGTGCTTTATTCTGTTTATAGAAAGCGTCCTCATCATGGGAGGTACCCTAGGTCGGTGTGGTTCCCCGTGTGTAGAAAATATTTATGATTTTTTTTCCACGATTGCAAACTTAACTAAAACAGTCTGTTAAAAAAACCGAAACTTTCTTAAAAACTGAGGGCCGACCAATAAGAACTTTTTACGGCTAACGGTTAAAACTGTGGCCATTTTTCTGCTGCGGCTAACCCAGAATAACACTAAATAACACACTGTAGGAGGGAAAGATTTTTAAAGTTAATTTTTTTTACAACTAAGGGATCAAATTTGTCAATATTTACGCCTAACAGCTAGCTTTTCGACCGGTTTACGGCTAACGGTTAACCCCATGGAGACCCTCGACTGGGGGACATACAGATGTAAAATAAAAACGGTTTTAGAAGGTGGCATTTGCAACTCGAATTTAGAGCGCTGGTTTTTAAGGAGTAAGGAAAACCGGGAAAAACAAGCCGTGGAAAAATCCTGGAAGTAAGGATCAACCTGAGAGAGACGGGCCTGGGGAGAGCGTTGTCGCTACGCATTCCTGTTATGTTCAATCGCTAACGCGAGATATTCACCGAAGTGAAGGCGAGCAAGGATAAATTTCCTTCCCCCTTTAAAGACCTTGTACCGGATCCAAAAAGTCAGTAAGCTCTTATATATTGACTTCCCCCCAGATCTAAAAAACTGCGACAACGTAAATGTTTCACCAGAACATCTCTACTGACGATAGCATATATTACAATCATTTTTAAAAGAGCCATGGGAAGGGGGGAAGGGGGGAAGGGTGGGTCTAGGTTCCGTTTTCCCCCCGGGTTGGGAGTGTAAACGGCTACGTGGTTAGAGGAAGGATTCTCAAGAATCTTAGAGCTACGATTTCATAAGGTAAACGTACGGACTTAGACTTCTTTCGTCTTCTTAGATTTTCTCTTCGTGCTTCATAACTATACTCCATCTACCCACCTTAGAGCGGTTTTTTATAAAATACCACACAGGCGAATGGAGCTCTTCGCGTGGGCTGATTGGTTAATTTAAAATTCATCGTCGAACCTGTATTAAGCGGTCGGTTGTCAAATTCGCGAATTTTTTTCTTCTTATGCATTGTCACTTTCAACACTTTTTCACAGCGGTGGTCTCTAGTAAGCGGTTGTGGTCATCCTTGACTGAGTCCCATCGGGTTGTAAGGAACAGTCACTTAGGGAGGAATCACTCGAATAAAAAGACGAATTCTCTCTGAAGTAAAATTTATTCCATATTTGTCTCCTAAAATTAATGTTAGTATTTAGAGTTCGAATGTCCTTAACGAATTGCAGATTATAATTCTTCTATAGGACTGTTTGTATCTGACAAATATTACCCAAGAAAAATCATTTGTTGGTTAATTACCAAGAGGTCTAATTATTAGAATTATTTATCTATTGTTCTGTTTTTATGCTGTAACATCATTTTGTAGATGTTATTTGATACATTTTTTACATAAACTCGACATAAAATAAATGATGAATTATGGTATTAATTAAATGTTGTTTTCTTGTCTTTTGTCATTGACCTGTATTAAAAGGTGATAACACTCAGTGATAACAATCAGTCACATACACTTTATTAATTAAAACAAAGGAATCTTTTTTTTCTGCTAGCTCATGTTGAGTGCTGGACTGCTGTGCGGGTAAAGGGGGTAAGTTTCTTAAGAAACTGTGGTGCTGCATCAGGGGGAGAGTACAGCAGTGTAATTTTGTATTATTAACTGAGTTGATAATGTAAATTGGCCACTGTAAAGAGTTTAAAGCTGAAGTTTTGAGCGTTAGCCCTTCGTCACAGCGGTTGGAGGAATTGTGAGTTGCGTGTGTATTTATCTGCAGAAAATGGAGCCACGCTATTGGTGGGAATATATAATAGAAAACAAGAATAAGTTAGCTGAATGAAAAGTGTTCGTTGGTACTGTGGGAATGAAAAGTGCCGATCTGAAAGATAATTCTTTGTTCTGGAGTTTTGCAGCCCTTCAAGCAGCCTAGATGTAGGGAAAGAGATTAAGGAGGATAAATTGTCTAGCAACCGGTTTAGATGACGTGTTCTTGTCATTTCTTTCTACATCGCGAAGGTGTTCTTGCCGTGCAGGTAGCTGAGGGTTCAAGCTCAAGACTGCAACAACACTCGGGGTCTTAAAATAACTGAGGAGAATGTGCTGCCTTTGCTGTAACATCTCCAAATGGTTAGACATTCTAATCTTCTCAGCCAAGGATGATAAACCATAGGCCCCATACTCTCCTACATCTTCTCAGTACTGGTTAAAAGCCATGGGACATTTACCCTTTAACTCCCTGAAATGATTAACATGTAACTTCTCCCTATAAGATCCAAACATTATCCAGCAAACAGGTGATGAGAATACTCAAACTAATCAGGTAGAGGATTTTTTTTTTTGATCTCACAGAAAAGTTCTCATAACTGATGAATATGCAAATGTGCAGCAGCTACTGAGGGGAGAATAAATTAATAATCAGATCTTGGGAGTTAAAGAGTAAAAGAACTCATAGACTTCAACAAAGAGTAATGAATGTGGTTCCCAGCATGGTCATCTGGCCTTGTTATCATTTATAGAGGCAATGTAAACCTGCTTTTCAAAGCCAAACTGAGCCAGCCTGTATAAATATTCCAAATAAATAAAGAAATAACTTAATATCAAGTTTACACCCACATCACAAATGGAAGCTAGATGCCCAAGGGGCCCAGGAGCTGCAACTACAGTCACACCCCAAGGTGCTAGAACACCTGACTGGCCTACCCAACCCACAATCCAGCTGCAAGCTTCTTGCTCCAAGCCCCCTCTGAACACTTGTCACACTAGAGCCAAATGGCTCAGTGGAGGAAAACATAAATTAATGAATGAATAAATAAAACAAATAAATAGAAATAAACCCCGCACAAGAAAGCCTGCAGTTAGGGCTGGAGGGGAAAGGAAGCGTCAAGAACTGGTATCTGCAAGGACAACAATGCCACGAGTAGAAGAGCAAACACAACACTGGCAAAATGACAGAACAACACATGCACTGGTAAGGTATACTGGTGGATGAGGACGGCCCCAGGGCCCCAACAACCACAGTACTGCTGCAGACTCTGCTGAATGCAACAAACACTGCACAGATTCTAACAGCTGGCTAAGACATGAACCAAATGTTT